TACAACAAAGAAGTAGTTCTTATAGTCGAATGAGATGTTCTTGTTGTAAGATTCGTGATCGTATATCAATAACGTCTGTCACAGTTTGTGATGAACGAGATATGTTTTCAAGATATTTGTCATGTCTCTGGCGATTCAAACCTCTACGCATATATTTCAACAGGCTCAGACAGATCTATCGAGCTTTGTCCTTAGTAATCTGTACATTTGATGTTAAAAGAGTGAATATAATGCTCGCTAAACGTATTAATTAATCCTTTGTGATTCCTAAAATACGATAAATAGAAGGTTAACCATCTTTGATAAATTATTATTTGAGAAGACAGCAGTTTTTTTTTTCTAGTCAAAATACTATTGTTTTTTTCATTCTCTTTCGGTTTTTTTTCTTTATTTATTTTCTATGACACGTTTGAAATTAACGAGTAACAAAATATTCGATAATCAAAACAAAATACTTATCAATTACATATGACACTATAGACTTTAATAAACTAATTGATTTCATTGATTTAATTTATTGTTCAATATTTCTTAAATACATATTATTCAAAGCCATCACTATTAGAGTATTGAAATAGTAAAAATTATCTGTAATGACAGAATACTAACCGAAAGTACTTTATTGCAATACAATATTCTTAAAAGATTTATTCATACTTTTTTAACAGAAAATATATTCATATTTTGCTAAGAAAAAAAAAATAGTATTCTGTCGATTCTTCTGATACATATAAATATATTTAATCTGATACGAGAGTCCAATGTATATTATTTTGTCGTTCGTTCTTTTTTTTTTGTTCTAGTAGAAAATTAATTATCCATTTAGTGGAGCTATTGGTTACGAATGTCTTTATACATATATATATAAACGAGCTCTTATTTTTAGCTGAGTATTCGAATGATTTCAGATTTTTATGATTGCGCACTTGTTCTTTGGTTCTACATAGACGTTCGTATACTGCTTATAATTGTCTAATGTCAAAATTCGATTGTTGTTTCAATAAGATATATTGTTCAAAAATAAAATTATTTCATGTTTATTTTATTCTTGGTTTATTTCTTCTGATATACTTATTTATGTTTAAAAATCATATCAGCACAACTGATACACTTAGTGAATATATTATAACACCATTGATTAACTCTAATAAAAGCAATTTAACAGTTGTAACAACAACAATATCAACTATTGTTCGTACGCATACTACTACTACTACAAGTCAAAAAATAGATATGGTAGAACAAGGTAAAACTATAGATCTGAATTTAACAAGTAAATTACCTACTACTCAAAACACAAATATATCTCAACAACCTAAAGAAGCTTTTGTAACATTTTGTAATAATCAACCAAGTTATCTAACTCTACTTAATGTTTTGTTAGATTCTGTTCATAGTTTTTCAACACGACCTATCATAGTTTTTGGAATTGATGTTGATCCTGATGTTGATGATAAAAAATATCCTCGTGTTATTAAAAGACGTATATCACAAAGTGATTGTGGACCAGTAAGATAGAATATTACATTTATCAAACTAATTAATATATATTCGATATTATTATTATTTTTAGTCCGTCTACTTTTGTAAAATACATGCCATTGTTAGTAGTAATGTTGAATATGGAGTTCTAATGGAAACAGATGATGTGGTAAATTATAATATCGATATACTCTTTGATGTTCTGCATTTGTGGCCTTATCCATTTCCATTGTCTCCACGTCATCCAGATGATCCACAAAACTATCATGATTTTATGAGACAACATAATGTATCGACACGTACTACACCATATATTCATGCTCATATGATTTGGAACTATCTTTCTATACCATTTTTAACAAATCTTCGAACTCTTTTACAACAAGGTAATTTCCAAGGCGCCAATTTTGATGAAACAGCTGTTAATGTTATGTTATGGAAAGCGAAAGCTAATCACACATTATGCAAATATGGTAAGAGATTTTGTTATTTCAACAAGACACACTAGAAATGTATGCAGTATAGATCATAATATTTCATTTTTATTTTTATAAACGATTGTTTGACAGAAAAAAAACTGACGAATTACTAGCATGCCATATCTGTACTTTGGGATTAACAGATAGTATGTATAGTGAGACAGAATTGAAGTTTTAGGATTGAGCAGTGTGTGAAAAATCGTTACATATTGGTATAAAGTCGTTCGATGAATGCAAATTAAAGATTATTCATTATTGAATCTCATTAGCATGATCTCTGATGAAGATGTTATTTACAAAATGTTCACTACTACAATTTAATATTCTATTCTAAGTTCCTAAGATTTATATCTATAGAAATCTTATTTATTACAAATTATTCAAAACCAAAACATCAATAACCATGAGTATAAAAAAGAAAAACAAACCACAAATACTTGCACCAGCTTTATAGAAAATGTATTTTATGTTAAAGTTTTATTGGAAATTTTTTTACAATAGTCTTTATCATATTATTTATAACGCACTAGCTAATAACGAAGCTAAATATTAAATTTGACCTAAAATAATGGTTGATAGAGATATGATACACAGTATATATATATTGATATGTTTGTATCTAGTAATTATCCCAGTTAGGAAAAAAAAGAAAAAACTAGTCAATTCAAGAAAATCTTGCTCAAGGTTCAAAATTATAATCGATTTTGTTGATATTACGGTGAATAGAAAGGACGATAATATCTATTAGTCTACAATAAAAATGAAGACATTTTCATTCTTGTAAGATTTTTGATAGTAATTCAATAAAACCCTAACATGAAGAATGAGTGTGAAGTTGAATTTATGACGAAAAGCATTTTCTATTACTATTTATTTGCTTTAACATAAAGTACAAGATGTAGTTACTTAAAATAAATGTGAATTAATAAAAATCAACAAAACTAATCTGTCTGTGTCTATTCCAATTAACCTTCAAATAGATCAAAATACAAAAATGAAATCGAAATCCTACTCGTTTTGTTTTTATGTTTAACATATATTCATTATAATGTATAACAGAGAATAATGAACATCGTTGTTTATTGTAAGCAAAAGTTAGAATATGATGCAGTCACTTTGAGAAAAGTGATATAGAAACCAATTATTTCTATTCATTTAGATCCTTTTTTCACTTATTCTGAAGCTTATCTAAAATGGCCTACGATAACAAATTGTTCGAATTATTGTTATACAGCTTTTATTACATTACATGGTTGCAAAGAGCACAATATTTCAGCTGATCTCCTAACTAAACTTAAAGCTAATGCCGGTAAACCAGCTATGCAAACATTTGGCATGGGCGGTATGAAACATATTAATGACACAAGTGTAACATGTTGCTATCCAGATAGCAAGCCATCACCCATTCATCCACTCTTATGTGAACATAAACAAGTAGAATAAACTGTCTCGTGATACTTGTTGTCCAAGATTTACTGTGATTCTATTTATACAATTTAGTTTTTTTCCTACAAGGATAATATTCGTTTGATGAAATAAAGAAATGATACGTTCGTATAATGATTAGGTTTTTAGTAAATCATATTAAAGATAAAGAAAAAATTGTATGACACTTTTTTTCTTTTATAAATTTTTATAAAACAACATTGTTCTATGTTATTGATATTATTTGAGTATTTTCTTTTTGTTTATTGGAAAAGTAATCGGATGTTTAAACAATGCTCGGCAGATGTATACGATATTATACCGAGAAACATGAATTTCACTGTAATGTCTTTCTCAATAATGTTAAAACAGTTATGTAGTAAAGCATATCGTTCGATTATATTCAGGTATTTTTAGAGCTCTAAAAATCTTTCGATAAATAATCATTTATGTTAAAAAATTCACAGTAAAATGCATACCGAAACTTATCATTCTATGACAAGCAATAGCCGATAATTCTATACTACATATTTACGTGTCAACGGGCGTCATCTTTTGACAAAGTCAACTATTTATAAACTAGAATTTCTAAGTTGCAAGATGAGGTTTGTAAATATTATGTAGATATTATTATCTGTCCAAAATAGAATTAATCTTTCGAAGAAGGAAGCAAGAGTATCCGTAACTGTCACCTATATTGCAATATGGAGTGCTGTCTGAGGGTAGATTCAATCGTTCGATATCTTCCCTATACCTATGACTAGCCATAGCTCTGGACAAAACGCAAGCCTAACGCAAACTTCTTGCGCTTAACTGCTTAAGCTCTCCATACACACTATCTAACCACATACTTGTCATAAGAGTAGATATATACCACATAGTAGTTATTGTGCAATCGAAATGGATAGTTCGAGACAAACAGCTGTTAGTGACCTGTCCAGGGTTATTTCATGACTGTTGGTACTGAACTTTGTATATGGCACCTTGTAGATACTTGTCAAAAAATGTAGTCACTTGATCACAATCGTTTCGAATAGATGTAATGAGAATTTATTAAACTTTAATTAATCCTAATATAAAACTTATCTTGAAGAGAAGTAAAAAAAATCCAAAGAATAATTCTTCAACAATATTATAAATAATCGTTCAATGGATCTTGTTAGTTGATGTATAACCATAATTATGAAACGAAAGTATTGATAACTACTAAAAAAATTTAATAACAAAGAATTGGATATAAAAACTCCATAGACAATGGTAAAGAGAAAAGAAAAGAAAAGAAATCGTGATCTTTTTTTTTTTGCAAGAGAACAATCATGAAAAAAAAAATTTAAGAATTCAAATATTCATTCGTTCTGCACTACTATTGACGAAAAGAAAAAATGCAACATAAAACAAACAAACGAACGTTTGTATAGTGCTTTTTTACCAATTTACCATGTGAGTTTTGTTGGTAACTAATCTCTGATGCAGAAAAAATGAGATTTTACAATTAAAAAATAATCATTCACAATACTCTTTAAATTGTTATAGAATACATGTCAATCAATCGATTATATGTCGACAAAAAAACCTCTGTTCATTCGTTTTTTTTTAATATTTCTACTTGGTTTAATGATCTATCAGCAATGGATTAATTCTTTAACAGATTACATACCAAATTTCATTTCACACCATATTCGACGTCCGATTAATCGAACTCATTATCCAAAAGAAGCTTTTATTACTTTTACAAATTTACAACAAAATTATCTCGAATTACTTGACGTACTTCTTGATTCTATTCATTTATTTTCTACACATTCAATAATTGTTTTTTCTATTGATTTTGATTTAATAATCAATTTTACACGACATCCACATGTTACAATAGAACGAATATCACAAAAAGATTGTGGTCCAACCATATTTGCTTGTAAACTTTTAGCTATTATTTCTAGTGAAGTGAATTATGGTATACAACTTGAAATTGATTCTGTTGTTAATTATAATATTGATTTACTTTTTGATATGCTTCATGTATGGCCATATGATCTTCCATTAGCACCTAAACATCCAGATGATCCTAGAAACTATAAATACTTTATGGAACAATATAAAGTAAAATATCGAACAACACCATATATGCATGGTACTTTTGTATGGACTTATCGAGCCTATCCATTTATTCGTCATGTTTTAACACTTATGCAAAGTGGAGCTTTTATGGATGCTAATTTTGATGAAACAGCGATGAATATTATGTTATGGAAAGCTAAGGCAAATCATACATTATGTAAATATGATCCATATGGTCCACTTTATCTTGAGAAATATGAAAAACCACAGAAGACACCCTTGTGTTTACCTTATTGTGATGGAGTCTATCTTATCTTTCATGGTCAAAAAGACAGTTTAGTTTCAAAAAATATACTCGAACGATTACATAAGCTTGGTCCTAATCGACCATTTGTTCAAACACCTCAAGGTGTAAAATGGTTCAATGAGACAAATGTTACTTGTTGTCATTCATCAGCAACAAGACCATCGCCATTGCATCCATTGCTCTGTGAATATGACAAGTTTGATGTAACATAAGGCTTACGTTTTTTTTTTCTATCTGTTATTATGTAGATATAATCAATGAATAGATAAAGTCATGTTTTTTGTATATTTGCATTAGATTTTTATCAGATACATAGAAAGATACAATCCATTATGGAAATTTTTTTATTGAAATATGTTTATTTGTTCATTATACTAATGTGTTGAAATTATTGATGTTATATACATGTTACATGATAGTTATACTATTGAGATAGTATTATTGATTGCAAATGTAAATTTTCAAAGAGCATACTGTTTTTGATATTTAATAAAGTATGTTTATATCATGAATCTTTATCATTATTATGTAATTAATTAATTTCTTGTGCTTTATTTTTGTCAAATAGTTTATAATGATTAAGCTACAAACAAATCAAGTCTAATACGTTAAATCGATTAAAACAATGTTGCTATAAAATGATATACAAATGAACCAATAATACCAAAAAAACAACCGGCAAATATAAATAATTGTAATAGAACAGCTGTTGTAGCTGACAGATATGGTTCTACCGATCTATAAATATAATTAAGAACAACTAATTAAATATCCAAGAAAAATAAATTCTTATCTTACTTTGTTGTTAACATTTGTAGCATTGAATTTAAATAACCATGCGTAAATCCAAAGATAATGACAAGTGACATAAAAACATAATCATCACGAATCAATATTGGCACATTATGTCTTGAATCTGGTTCAAAATTAACAAAAAGAAATGTGATCAATACTATAATTGCACGAATAAAAACTAAAAATGAAACCCATCGTGAATATGGCTAAAATCAAATAAATATATTCATATAATTGATTTAATTTATAAAATAATTTACTTTTTTAACGCAACCTGCAAGAAAATTTCCTAGAAGATTAAATAAAGCAAAATTAATCAAAACAACTGCATCGACAAATTGAAGATCTATTTAATCACAAAAAGAAATTCTGTTAACTATAAATTATATTTATGAATAATTTTACTTGTATGAAAAAAGTTTGGTGTAACACTTTGCACTTGAATGAGAATACTAGGAAACAGAGTTACTGTCGATAAATAATGTAACCAAATTGATAAACATTGAAGCCAAATCTTAAGTGAGAATATTATTCTCAATTATAATATCACGAAAAAAAAAAGTTATTTTCATATACTTGTTTCAATACGTTTCCATATGGGATATGAAGTAAATGTCCTTTTGTCGTATGTAATAGATCTATTTTTATTGATGTATGATAAAATCGAAACAAACGCTATTTTAACAAATAATTTTTATGAATTACGAATGAAAATAAATTGAATATTATCATACGCACCGAATAAGGAAAAGCAAAATAAATATCAAAGCAAAAAAGAAGTGTGACAACAGCTGTGACCAGAAAATAAATTGCAATCACCCTTGGATCATTCGTGTCTACAAAAGAAAAAAGCATAGGAAAAATTGAAAATAATAATAATTAAAACAATTAGTATGTATACTAAAAACAGAAACTTTGTCTCTACAATAACTAGAAGATATTAAAGTTTTTTTTTTTTTTTTTTTTTTGTAAAGTACTGTCCATTATTCTAAATGATTATATGGAAACTACTCAAGTATTAGAATGAACTTCAGAAATATTCAATTGTGTCTGATTTCCTTTGTGACTTTAACTTAACTATGCAAAGTTATATTTATTGTCTTTTCATTGTAACGAGGGATCAACTAGGATTTCCGCTAAATAGAACTTAATTAAAAGAGTTCAGTCAATCTATATAGCTACCTTTTCTTTTTACAGTATTATAAAGTTCACTTGAAAAAAATTTATGTTTCGAATTTTTCGTAATATATTTATCCTAAACATGTATATATTAATTAGCTAGAATAGTTTTGATATTTTCTTATGTTATTATCACTTGATATAATCAATAATCTAGAAGACATAGTTTTTTTTCGCTCTTTTAAAAATGAAGAAAAACGAGTTTTTCGATGTTCTGTTATATTCTGAACATTTATTGTTTAGTATTCTTTCTATAAATATTTTTAAATAATTTTTATAAGTAATATATTGTCATCTTTTTGTTTTACACATACTTACAGTATTTAAAAGTAATTCTACTACAAATAGCAATCAAAATACCAAGTGACTAAATAGTCAAAAGCAAAAAAAGGAATGACTTTTCAATCATTAATTTGTCATCATATTATAATTCACACCTACTGTGCCTATAACAAGTGCATTCACATATCGATCAGGAAAATATGCAACAATGCCTGCGATACTTGATAGATAAAGACCAATAAAAGCTAAATAAACATATGATAAAGTTAGAAAACAAAACTACTAAAATATATAAGATTACCTCCTATAACTACAATATTAAGAATTGTAATACAAAGAAAAACACCTGAAGCTATAAAAGAAAATAATAAAGTTTTTTTTATGTCAATGAAAAAACTATTAAAACTCCTTACAATCACGAGCATCGAATACGGCAAAAAGCACCTGTAGAATGAACATGATAATGAGCACAACAATTGATGGAATAACACGCCGTTTTGTATCGCCACTATATCAAATAGAAGTATAATTTCTTTTATATTTTTTTAATAAAAAAAAAAAAACCAAAATATTTACTGAAAACCAATAAAAAGGCCAATACCAGTAGAAACTAAAGCCGCAAGTAACGCAGCTAAAGCGCAAAAACTTAAAAAATATTGGCGATAAATATCCGAATCATCACCAAGAAATTTGCAACAAACAAAATACTAAATAATATATAGAAAAAAAAAATAATAATAAGCACAAAAAGTTATTTGTAAGATTATTTTATAATTAATATCTATATGCAGAAATATAGTTTTCCCAATTTTGTATACAAATAATAACAAACAAAAACAAAGATAATTGAATATGATTTAATAATATTAATAGAAAAAAAAAAAAAAAAAAACTTAATTAAATTTGTGAATATACTAATCGACTTACTTCATAACTATGAAATAATAGATTCCATGGTAAAAAACAACCAAGGCCATGAATGACGAATGCCCAAAAGACACCAAAACATCTATTTTTTAATAAAATCTAACATAAATTTTCTATATTGTATATATATTTTTTACCTATCTCTAGGTACTCGATCAAATGTATCGGATGTAATTACGATTGTATCAACTGGTTTACCAAGCATTATAATATTATTTTATTTTAATCTTATTCTTCCGTCATTGTTTACATACGATGTTTTTTCTTATTCGTATGGTCGATTAGAATAAATTGCGTGTAATCTATTGAATAACTACTGCTTATAGAATGATAATTGTAGTTGACTTCATCGTTGGACATACTAGAAGAAAAAAAAAAAAAAGATAATAATGACTATAAGAATATAAATAATAATACTGATTCATGCGTGAAACTCAAAGTCATTTTCTATGTTTTCTTTGTTCATACGATTGGTACCGCAAATAGATCTAGAGGCAGTCGTCTTCTTCATCCGTTCTCTTCCTCGTTCTTTTTTCTAACTAGTTGCTTTACACAAAGCTCTGGCATGCAAGAAAACGAGCGAATACTAATGGTGCTTTTGTCTGTCTTGTGTCGTGTTCTGTTTCCAGTGACCTTCGCCAAATATCGAGATAATTGCAAAGCAATCTTCTCTCTTTCTTTTTTTTTTCTCTTGTCTTTACTTGTTTGTTACTCATAAGATGTTTCTCTTGTCATTCCATTTATTGTTCTATCTATCAATATTCCAATGCATAAAAAGCATACAAAATTTCTTTTGTCTACTTCCTTGATATATCGAAGTTAATCATAAACATTCAGTCTTTATAATAAGTATAGGTTAATAATCGGTCTCTTATCGAAGGAAAAAAACAAATAATGACGTTTTATCATCTCGAAGATGTTACTCCAGAATAGACACTCCTCTATCAATCTTGTACTATTGTATGTGTCATTTTTTCACACGCCCCAAGGCTTCTTTAAATAGAAAAAAAAGAAAGAACAAAAGATAAAGAAAAAGCAAGTAGCAGATGTCTGCTACTTGAAGAGTACTATTTCTCAATCAATACTACTGCTGATTTACTTTTTTTCTGTATATAATCATATATATATATATATATATATATATATATATATGGTGCAATAATGATGACGTGACACACTGATCCTATACGTATGTGTATATGAAGGAGGAGAAGAACAACAAAGCAGGAAAGAAAAAGATTACATTGCAACATTCAACATGAATATAATACTGAATGTTTAAAAAGAAAGCATATATAAAGAAAGAAACTACATTTTCATATAGTTCTCATAAATTTTAATAACAAACCCTTCCACTGAAATATTTACAACTTAAGTTTCTATGATAGAAGGCCAATCTAGAATAACGGCTAAATAGTGGCAAAAAAAAAGAAAATTAAATATTCATTTAAATATTAAGTATCTTGAAAATATAATATGAAATAAGATGTAGCATGCAAATACTGAACATGAAAGATGTTATATCTTCTGCGTTTTACATAAACGTGAACATGTATCTTAATATTTTTCTACCTCACTTTTGCTCTCTTCTTCTTTTTATTCAGCTAATCAACACTCTTTTCTTTTCTAACACCTAGTTTCTTTCTAGTAGTACTTAACACATCCTTCATCATTCACGTTCCGACATAGAAGCATACAAACATAAGAAACTCCCTCGGAAGTCAGTAAAAACATAAATGTGTAAGAGAAGAAAATGTAACCACAACAAAAATTCATTGAACACGAAAAAGAAAGTAGAATAAGAATAAGAAAAAGAAAAAGAAAAAGAAAAAAAAGAAGATCAATGCTTTAGCTATCGTTTGATAAATGATATCAATGAATGATAACCGTAATGAATTTAAACCTCAAATTATTTGATCTTTCATATTTCGTTTTAATTATACGGATAGATAAAAAAAGAACACACGATTTCATTTCATTGCATGAGTGATGATCCTTCGTCTTATTGAGTCGTTCATCTTCGACAACTTAGCTTAGTAACATAACATTGAAGATTAATAAGAATGAGACATGTCAGGAAAGCAAATAAAAAGAAAAGAAATATTTTTGTCGTTTACAACATGCAAAAGTACCTTTCTATCTTTTTTCTTTTCTCTTGACGGAACGAATGAGCGACTTCTGCTTCTTCAATTTCTACGTGCCTTGAACTTTATTATGCAATAGTCATCGTTGAAATTATAATATGGATACAATAGTTAACATAATTCTTGTTCTATGTGAATGTAATCGTTATTATATACTAATCGTTTTGATCAACTTGTCTACACATAAATATAAATATATGTATATAATATTGATGAGCATGCACATAGCTACCGCTACACTAGAATATCAATATGAAGTATAAAAGAAACGAAACAAATAATGTTCAAATATAGAGCAAGAAGAGACCAAATAAAGTTACATGTATATAATTGCATGAAGAAAAGTGTCAAGTAGGTCGAACAAGGACGAGTGTTCACTTATTTTCTTTGCATACATTTTACTTGTTCATAGATACAATTCTGTATAGATTACATCACGAAAAAGAAAGTCGACACTTATACGATCTTACAATTATATTGACTATCGTTATCATTATGAGAAGTCTCATTTTTTCTTGTATCGATAACCACATTGTAATAGCTGAAACTCTCTTAAATATTATGAAGTTTTTTTTATATTATATGTGTATTAACACGATCAAGATTTTATTGTCAATAAAAATAAAAATAAAAATCAATTCATCTTTTTGACACATGTCAACTATTATGATTGTATAAATATGTATTGCGCGATCGGCATGATATTGCATATGTCTCTATGGGCAATCATTTGAACACAGTTGTCTAAATGATTGAGTGAGTGACAATCAGTTTGTGAATAAATAAACATACACATTATGAGCAACAGTCGGTGTATCAAGTGAATAATTTTTGAACGTCAATATCTCTTAGATGATTGATTGCATGAAATGTATTGCATAAGAATAAAACTAAAATATTTAGACTATGTTTAAAAAGAAAACTATCTTTGAAAAAATACAGTGCTTTAAATATTAATCGATTATTTATTTTAGACTGTGTTATTACAATAGTTTCATAGAAAAACTTCATATGCTATTGTTTCTAGAAAATTTAAGTGATGAACCATACTATCAGCAGAACTGGGAATCTATCACTTTAACTCATAGTAATGCAAATTGAATGAACATCAATTCTATAATATGCTACAATCTGATAGATATGATTCCATCATCTGAACATGTAAAATATTGAGTGATTTCTTTTTTCATTTATTAGAAATATTCTTCTAAGTGCAAGTTTATTATAATCCATTGCTTGAAAAATCTAAATATGACTTGATGCAACTAAATGTTTCTGTCGTTATAAATTTCTATCTATTAGTTTCCTGAGTTCATTCTAACACATTTACATATATACATAGTTATGAGTATGTATCGATTCTCACGTCATTCATCATCCTTAAAAACAGGGGTATTGATCAATGAGAAACAGATTTAGGGAATGGCCATGATAGCAGTAGCGGCTAGAATGACAGATGTTGGTGTCTTTCAGCTAAAATGCGTCACCAAAAGTATCAAGTTGGTATATATTCCTCTTGGCAAAGAACAAACATTTATCTTGTCAAGTCTCTAAGTCAAAAAAAAAATTATGATGCTATAGAATAGAATCTTATCTTGGCAAATCGATTACTAGTTGAAATAAGTATGGACAGATAAAAAAAATACATTTGTCAATCTTTATCACAAATGTAATAATCTGATAGGATTAAGATTGATGATCAAAAAAAAATGAATGATCTTATAGTTTTTTTTTTCTATGTAATTCTTTCTTTCATTGAAAAAATACAACCAATATTGGCTTTTACTTCTGATGAAATTTGTTTCGCAATCGAACACTTAACTAAACATTACAACCAAAAATAATTTACATTTTTACCTTCTTCCAATATTTATATCCAGTTATTCCATTGCTATTAGCTTTATTCTTCTGTTTTGCATCATAATCAATGAAATGATTATATAATGCATTTATTTATCATCGTTATTATCCAATTACCAAATGACATTTATCCTATAATCGATAGTATCATTCTGTTTTATTAATGAAAAGAAGATCAAAACAATCATTTTAGCTTGTTTTATGGCAGATATGGTCTCATAGGCCTTGAAAGTATAATAAAAGAAGATAAATGGATTTATATAAAAAACATATGACAACAATCGATGATCAAATAAAAAGATTTCACTATTCAAACTTATATTATCGTTGAGTAGTATTAAAAAAATCTTTATCAAATAGGTAATTTTCTTCAATATCATTGTCATACAATAAAACATACTTTGAATTTAATGATTAAACTCTATCGATTAAACAAATAATAAGCATCTAAGTTTATTCTTTTCAAAATCATCATTCTTCTCGTTGTATTTAGTACATCAAAACCATTTTATTACTCACATAGAGTACAATTTGTAGGATAGATATGAAATTTTTACTCAAGAATACTTCCTATAAAAACGGTAAAAAAATCGTCAAAAGAACATAGTATTGATTAATCTAAATTCTATCTGATCCATATTATTGGTCAAATATATTACATCAGCAAGAATTACTTGTATATCATTGATAATCAAGCCAAAGTTCTTTGCGCCATATCGCTAATAGCCTGCTGTACTGCTAATGCATATCAATCGAGTCGACTGATTATCGAACATAATGTTTTCTAATACATTGTAAAACACGAGAGAGAGTGTGAGATTAGATATCGAAACTTAGGACGCAGTTTGTATCAATATGCGAATGAATAAGATTAAAAGCACTAACACATACATCATATATCAAAAAGAAATATCACAAAACTCAACCTTGCATATTATACAGCAAAAAAAGAGTTGCTGTAATCTCTGTCAATATTGTTCATCAAATTCGAATAACCTTAAGCAACATTCTTTCGACTATAACAAATATTAAAAATAATTTTTATATATGATTCCACTAATACAAAAAGAAAAGCATAATTCTTATTTAAATAGATGCTTTGTTTGTATCAATATTTCCTTTAGTATTTTTAAAAGCAAACTTTAATTGGTGTTCATCTTTCAAATTACATATATATATCGGTTTTTATTGAACAAAAAATTAAAATAAAAAACATTCAAATCATTTCTTCTGACAATTACTACAGCTGCTCTGGCCTGGTTTATGATCGGATATACCGGAGCTACATTTGCCGCCTTGTTGTCCCGTGTTTGAGCGGGATTGATCTTCAGCATATGTATGAGATTGTGGTTCTGTTGCTGGATTGTCTATAACATTTTTCATTGTACCACCTTCGGATTCACGATTGGCACCGGTACTAGACATTGTTTGTTTGTTTTGTTCGCTTGTAATAACTTGAACCAGATATAAAATGAAAGAAAATATGCAAAATCGTTGCTATTTTTATAGGTCTCATTAAAAAAAAAACGTCGTAAAAGGGAATTTGCGCGTTGTTTTAACAAAGAGAAGTCAATCAGTACAATGCATCGATACTTGTTCTGTTCTTTCTAAAGATATTTCAAGTTGAAGTCACGTGTATTCTTACATAAAAAATAAATAATAAAAATGTACGGACCGGACATTTTACAATTGTTTGTAGAATTATTAGTAAATGACGAACAAAAAAATTACTACATTTAAAATATATCAGATAGTTCACGAAGTTGAAAGAGGACAAAGTTTTATACTGAAAGACATTTGTTGATTTGATATGTGGCAATATTACGAACCATCCACCATTAAAATTTACTTAACAATACTATATCTTCATTTTATGTAAAACAAATCGGAGACACGAACACTACTCGTCGAGTTAATAGGCTCAAAAAATTGACTTTGTTTTAGGTAATCTATTAATATGAAATTAGAAATTGCATTTCTGATGAAAAAGAAAAATATGTTTTTAACTTTCGAAATTATGAATTAGTGCTTTGTTCGATAAATGTTAGGATATTTCTTGATGAAAATTTATTTTCACATTACAATCAATATAAAGCGCTAAAATTAACGATTATTGTTAACGAATTATACAATCAATTTAATCGGACATATATTCTAGAATTCGACGTATTTTCAAGGACAGAATTGTGATTTAATAGGTTTTTAAAAAAAAATGAGAATTGTAATATTATTCTTCAGACTTTCTACTTTAGAATTCAATCTGCTAAGATTTCGAATAAGTTTAGTTAAATAAGTATTTGTAGTTCCGGGAGTGATGATCCGGAATGTTGAACAATTTATGAAAACTTTTGATTTCGAATTCTTTATTTTAACTAGATCTTTCGAATTTTTGTAATTCCATACAGACTTTTTAATCAATGGCTAAAAGACGCCTTTATTAGATCATGTTAGAGCTATAAAAATAGAATTATCCTTATTCTGACAAATATTGTTATGGTGTAACCAGAAAAAAGATTCTAGCGGAGGAAGGACTCAGCACCTCATCAGTCTTCTCTTGAGAGAGTTTCTATCATCGTTCATAACACTCAAATTTTCGAGACAGCAGAGGATAATACTCGAATGTTCTCAGACGGCAACTTATCCTTTTTCTAATCATTCGCTCCGTGCCGATCAAGTGCATGGAACCGTACGGCACAATGTTGATTTTTATATTAGCTTGTACTTTGTATTTGATACTTTGGAAACATTATGACATCCAAAAAGTGCTCGCAATGCATAAGAAACTCTTTCTTTTGATACAAGTAAAAATAAGCTTTTTCTCGGGAGTACAAAACATCAACATGTATCTTATCGTTTTCTATTAATCATTTTTGACATCTATTTCTTTCTTATATATTATTGAATTTCTACGTGATCATGTTCTTATCTCATAAGATGTATTTGTCTATTGGATCATTGTTTATTATTCTATTTCTAACAACATATCAAGTTCAATCGAATACTCTTCTAAACAACTTTAATAACCTATTTTTGGGTACTTATAAAAAAGCTAGTACTTATTTTTTAACTACAATCGATCCATTAATAATTACAAATGCAGATACATTAACGTTGAAACATCGAGGTCAACATACATCTATCAATATTAATCGACAATTATATCACAATCTTAAGACTATTGCACATATTCCCTTGACAATATATTTAAGTGTTTTTAATGTTGAAGCGAATAGCCGAAATTTTTCATCTGATGAATTGATTAAACTTAAATCATATTTACGAGAACTTCGATTTGTTCGAAAATCTTTAAATATTTCGGATTTTTCATCAAATAATGAAATGTTTCAAATACAATTTGATATTATTGATTTATCAATTACATTTCTTCGTTCGTTAATTCGATCAAAGCAATTAAATATTACAGCATTAAACAAGTTTTGTCATAAAGCTACAAATCTTTTTAATATTAATATAAAACATGCTACCCGTGCTCACCTTGATCGACTTCATAGTGTTATTTATCCAATATATACAAAACTATTTAATGAAACAGAACAAAAAACCGTTCAAGTACTTATTATTGGATCAAAACCACCACGTGAAGGTTTCCTTATTAAACAATATTTTCAGAAATTACTTGGTGGCAACAATGTAGAAGGAAAAAGACTTTTATATGCTGAAAATGCAGCAGATGAACAAGGAGCATTAAATATTCTTGGAAGATGGTTACTTGATGCTAATGCAGCTCAAGCATTTTTTGATGATGAAACACGATTACATCGAGATCTTCTAATGGATGAAGCTAGTATATATATAAAAGCATTATTTGAATAAGAATGAAACTAATACTTTTAATTATTTTATTGAACTATTTAGATGCTAGAAATAATTCGAAACAAAAAAAAGAAAACCATAGAATGTTTGTTTGTGAAAAAAAAAACACTGCAGAAGGATAAACATATGTTCATGTACACCCCAAAAAAAATCAAAAGAATATGAAGAAGAAGAAGAATCAATTAATTATTATTAGAATAAATCAGACAATACTACAATTAGGTCGAGCATTGAGTCGGCGTGTACCATCCATTTCAACACCTGTTTTCTTATCTACACACCAACAATATCGTTCGCTTTGATCACATTGTACAGATGCATATAAACCATTAGCATCACATACCTATTGATAAACAAAATAAAATCAATATTTCTATTAAATTTTACATATAACCTTAATCTTTATGTTTTCTTTTGACAGAAGATAAATTAAATCTACTTTTCAGCTTTTTTAGCTAGCACAAAATGTTTTAAGCAAATTAACTTGATTAAATTATATTGTCTGTTTTATTACTTTAAAATAACTATACTTACAGGAATGAGAATATGATCATCAATAATCTTTGCATTACGAACTTGTTCGAGATGTGTTAAACATAATGATGAAGATATTCCATAAGGAAATGAAGTTCCATTAGATTGTTCAATAATTGCTCGATGTAATAAAAATCGTTCTATTTTCATTAAGAAAAAAAACCAAAATAGAATATATTAATTTTATTGAACAGTATTTCTACATACCTGGATGAAGTTGTTGATAAACACCAACACATCGAAGTTGATCACGATTTTGAATAGATACAGTTGGTCCAATTAATTTACCATTTTCATCAACACATGAACAATAACGACCATCACATTGAATAGGAGCATAATTTCCATTTAATAAACATAATAAATGATGACCAATCATACGAAGACTTGATACTTGATATAATTCTACTGCACAACCTATAATGATCAGAAGAAAAAAAAAAAAAAATTTTAAATGCCTTAGACCAAAAAACAAATATATACCGCAATTAACATTTTCTTCTGGTTTTGATTCAAATCCATTAACACGAATACCAGTCGATGTAACACACCAACATTTTGATTGTGATATATCACATTGGCGAGCATAAAATGATCCATCTGATGCACATTTTGGTCCAGATATATTATAAAACTTTGCTTCATTCAATAATTCCCAACATGCTTGACTATTAGAGAAAAAAACAAACTTTTATATTAAATTTTACATAAATTAATTTGAAAATTACCCTGAAGCACTTTTTGGATCAGGTAAACATGAACATGTTTCACATCCATCAGAATTTAAATAGGATCCATACTCGCATTGACAGTCAAATGATACTGATGCACATGGAGCACTACCACGAAATTTACATTGACATGTTTGACATCCATCAGCATCGGTTACATAGCCTAATATTCGAAACAAAAGAAAAGACATTATTTACTGTTTTATAGTGATTTTCTTTATTTATTCACCAAGATGACATGAAGGACATGAAATCGGAGTTGAACAATTAACTTCAGTTGTATTTGTTGTTGGTAATAAACAATCACATGTTGCACAATCATCTTCATCTTTAACTGAACCATATTTACATAATCCAAATGTACAATTAAGTACGGGACATTCTTGACTATTAGGTCGAATACATACACATGTATCACAATTATATTCATCTTTAACTGTGCCAAAATAGCATGGATCACAATTTAATTGTGGACAACGTTCACCTAATGGTGGATATGGACGATTTTGACATTGACAAATAGGACACTGAAACAAAAAAATGAGGAAAAAATAAGTGTCTGGAAATCATTTTATATAAAGATATATATATATATACTCCGTAAGGATCTGTATAATGTCCATATAGACATTCTTGACAAGTTAATGTTGGACAGATTATGTTTGATTTATTTGCTTGAATGCAATGACATGTTGGACATCCATGAATATCAAACTTGCGAGCAAATGCACAATAATCAAATGGACAATCCTTTAAAACTGGACAATCAGTGGGCACAACAGTTGTTGGTATTGTTGTATCAACAGTAGTTAATTCAATTCTACCTTCAACTATAGTAGTATTTCTTTCATAGTCTGCATTGACTAAGATAGTAGAATCTTCGACATGAAGAGATGTTGTTGGTTGATGTAAAATTTCTTTTGCAGTGGTTGGACTAACAGATACTGTTGAAGGATTAACTGCAGTAGTAATATGCATATTAACGTTAGTGGACTCATTCTTTTCCAATAATTGAGTAGAAACACTTTGTGTCATTTCTAGATTATCTAGTAAAACTTCTGCTGTTGTTTCAGTCATAACTGCTTTGTGTAATACTAACACTGGAACTTCTCCATCGACTGTTTCATTTGCAACAGATTCTAAAACTATATCAATCTCATGAATACATAATATTATTCGTTTATCGATAAAAACAACTTCAACATATCCTGAAAATGTTTCATGCGATTTGTAATGTATCTGGTTCAAGATCGATTTTTTAGAGGAAAGTCATTAATTAGAAAAAAGAACTTACTATTTGTTTCTATCATAGGCATCTGTAGTGTATTCTGTTATACTTTAAATTTTCAATAAATAATACAATTAAAGTCTATTTTATATGACTTTTAAATTGCCATTGAAAACGTTTAATAAAAAAGAACACTCAAAATGCATTCTGAAAACTTTTTCGAGTTTCTTGGACGAAAATGCGTGTTTCAACAGTTTTGAAATGCTATGATTCCAGAACAGTGTTTTATCCAGTGGGGGGGCATGGGACATTTTGCCCCCCCGGAGACCACGTTTGCCCCCCCCGAGAAAAATGAAATAAGTTTTAAAAAAATCAATATAATTGTTCTAAAATTATTTTTTACGACAGATTTTGTGAGTTGTTAATTAATCTGATGTTGTTAAAATAGAATCTGTATTTTATCTAGCGTGGGGGCAGGACGAACTGCACTCTTCCGGAGATTGCATTGGCTCCGTCCCGAATAATTTGAAATATCTTTCAGGAAGAAAAACGAGCAGTACAGCTTGTCTAAAACTTTTCGCTCGATGAAAATTTGGAGGAAATGTCATGTGACCAAAAATGAACAAAATCATTTACTGTAATAGAAAAATATCACATACAATATTGAAATGAAAAACAATTACCGAAAAAAGTAGTATTTTCCATAAATAATGACTCTCAATAATTATAGTTCATTGTTTTTGGTCTAACTCTACTAGTCTAGAGTTTTAACCAGTTATAATGGTGGCAAGTAGTACCTATTATCGATTAATTAAAAGGGTTCTATGAAGCACTGTTATGTGACTAAAAATCTATTGTGATGACTGCAACTGTTGTAGTTTCAATAGGCTTGAGTCACTTATAATTCGCCATATGAGTGTTTTGTTTAGCACCGATTTAGAAGGAAGACCGACATTCTATAATAATTGGGGTTCGATTCATATCGTACGAACCGATCGAAAATCGTCGGTTAATTCCGGCTACTTTTGTGACTGACAGTTAACCGCGGTCATTTCCTTTGCTCTCAAGGTTCCACAGCGTAAAAACCGACGGTTCACCGCGGTTAACCTCCAGGTTGACCGAAGAAATATTGGTCAGAACTGCTAACTTTTTCGGTCAAGCGGGAGGTTAGCCGCGGTTAACCGTCGGTTTTTACGCTGTGAAAGCTTGAGAACAAAGAAAATAATCGCGGTTAACCATGAATCACAAAAATAACCGGAATTAACCAACGGTTTTCGATCGGTTCATATGACACGGGAACCTCGTGTACACTATTATTGTGTCGTTAGAGAGCCTACGGAATACGTACATGATTTATTATTTACAGTTGCTGAGCGAAAAGAATGAAACTAGTATTTTTTCTTGTCTCTTCTCTGATTTATGTTTGATCTCCATTAGACAATCAATATCATCCTACAGTGTAATGTATTTCTATTTCTGGGCAGAATTTTTCAAAAAAAATTTTGGGCTACTGTTCACATCCATATTTTTTCAACATTTTTTCGTTGAACTTTTTACGTTCAAACACGTATTTTGGTGAATATTATTCAATGATAATGCTTTAGTAATTTGAATCAGGGTCGAACTTTCTCGTTGCGCATCACTATTTCGAAATTTTTCAACGGTGCAGGAATTTTCTGTTTAAAAGTTGAGATGAGGAGTATTTCCATCGTTACTGTCTATTTTATCTTCCGGACAATATCAAGATAAGAAAATCGCCTTAAAAAAACTTTCAACTGCTAAAATTTTCGCTTGCCCCTCCGAGAAGTAAATTTGCCCCCCCGGAGCAAAAAACCTGGATAAAACACTGTTCCAGAACATGTCTGAGCACATTCTCGAAAAGTTGGTTTTTATCAATTAGGAACATGTTTAATACAAATAGTTCTTCGTTGTCAAAGATACGTTTGTCCTTTAACAAGAAGATCTTAAGTCGGTCGAACACGTTCTTGACCATGAAGCTAATTGATGAATGCTGTTTTTTAATAGTGCGTTTAAACAAAACCTTTCTCCATCGCGTTATATGATTATCAGAAGGTACTTTTCACTCAAGAGACTCAGAAAAACTCTTCAGAACATGTTTTCAAGTGCTCTTTTTTATAAACTTTTTTTGTATTGATTGCTAGTAAAGAATGACTGTTTGGTTTTTTTGCTTACCATTTTGTTGGACACGAGTTAAATTTGCTTGATCGGATTGTTCGCTAGATGATGTATCTGTTGCAAGTACAACTATCTCTTTGGTTTTCATTGGTATTGTTTGTTCGAGTTGATCTTCATTCATTGAATTTGTAGTAACATTATTGTAATATTCTTCAAGAACTTCTAATCGATTTGTTCTATTGGTACGTGTAGTAAAATCAAGTTCAGGCATTGATGTTACTGGAATAGTTTCTTGTTCAATAACTTCTGAGTATGCTACATTGAAACATAGAGAAATAAAAAATAAAAATAAACAATATGTTGTATACTTGTTTCAAAAATTTTTTGACTGCTAGTCTCGATTGGTTGTTCAACAGGATCACTGTCAACTATTTCTGGTTGAAAAACAACACGTACACATTTTTCTATAAACAAGTTAATGTGTATAGGAGAAAATGAAAAAAGAAATTTGTTTATTATTCAATACTTGGATTATCATTAACAATGAAATCATCTAGATTGATCGAAGAACAATGAGATTTTAACCATAACATTGTATCATTTCCATGTTCTTGTTCATTATTCTGAATAACAAAGTGTTCACTTTGATTACGAGCACAAACATCAGTTTGATTTGACTCAATTGAATAGCAAAGAATAAAATGTATCATAGCTTCATCAATAAAAAGGATTTCAAGAAAACCTTTGTATAAAAAGAAATAAAATAAAAAGAATATGCCAAGAAAATATTTGTAATTATATTGATTACCTTTTTCATTTGGCCAATGAATAGATACTCGATTCGATTTTATGTTTGATACAATTTGACCTTTTTGAGAATTAACACAAGAACTATTGTAACTAAGAAAACAATAAAATAAAATAAATCGTTCATTAGAAAAAAAACATGAATGAAAAGAAAAGATAAATTTAGGAAAAAATAATTACCTATTCTCTCCAATAAACTCTAAATAAATTGTACCATTTATTGTTGTTGATGTTTGCATAAGAATATTGTTCCATGTTTTTTCACCATAAATAAACTTACTGCGAGCTAATACAAACCAATATCGCTCGTTATTTAAAAGCTAAATTTATGAATAATATAATTTTCATAATAATTTTCGAAATTTACCTCAAATAAATTGTTATTGTCAGTGAACGAATCATTTTCATTACATAAAACATGGGATTGAGCGTCGGAATTATCAACATCAGTAATATTATTAATATCATACACTGGATTTCCGTATGACTTAGTAATAATGGCAAATATAATAAAAATAGTTGAAAAAAATGAGAACATCTCTGTTCAGTTTTGTATTGCAATGATATGATCTTCTCAATAATAAAGTTCAATATTTATGTTGATGGTGATCGACAAGTAATGGAATACTTATGCATACACACGCACAGACAAAAAAAGGAAAAGGTCACTGTATTAAGCAGATGTTCATACTAATGAATATGGTAGAATAGCATAAGTGCTTAAGGAAATAGACCAATGATTGAACACTGACCCAGACAACTCTCTTTCCAGAAAGAAAAAGAATATTTCCCTCTTACTCATCACCGTCATCAGATATACATATATCACATTCGAGTAGACATGACTCTTTTGGGGTCAATTAATAAAAAGAAAAGAACAGCAATATGATCGGCTATTCGGTCATCTAATGCTCAAGAAAAAGTACTATAAATGAATGCATTTCCATGGCATTTGTCTACTTTGGGACTATTACTAATCTTTTTTAATTATATAAGATTAAACAAAGACATTTATATTTATACATCAAAAAGGGAAATTATTGAATTTTATTTTAATTTCAAAAACCTTAATCAAAAGTATTTTAAATTTGTCGAAATTTGAGTTATACGATTTATCTATGTTAACCTTTGTGTCTATCATTGAAAACTTTATGCATATTGAAATGAAATAACTAACATTTAGGTGCAAGGTTAAACCTTGGCATATTTCTCTAATAGACAGTAATAGCAAATCGTTTTTTTCATTGTTACATACCCACGTACACCTGTATATATACATATAGGCGGTTACACAATTCATCTCTTTTCATTTCTACGTTTGTACACAGACATTTATCTATACAAGGTAGGAGTTCAATGATTTTCTTCTTGTACATTAGTTAAGTTCATTGAGCCGAATTTGTTAGTCACGTTCATTTATTGGTGAAATTTTTATCTATATAGTAAAAACATTGTTTTTGCTATATGCTTCATTATATTTTGTTCCATGACTATTCAATGAAGTGATAAAAAAGGAAAAATACATCATATAGAGTTAACAGAAGAGAGCTTATCCATGAAAAACAGTACAAGATTATATATAAGATAATGCAGATTATGAACAGAGAAAGCAAATGAAGAATGATAAAATAATCGAAAACGAAAACCAAGCTCAAAAGCATGACCATTCTAATTTGACATGAATTCTAACGCATACCAGTTGTCTTAAGAGTTTTCATACACATATCACTTCTATAAGACTAACAAAGAGATTTATTAATGAGACAAAGTCAATGTATCTGGATTCATCTTAGGAACTTCTTGTAAACGCCTTCAGTGAAGATAAAAACGATCGAGTGGAATGTATTTAATAGTGATAGAAAAAAAAAGGAAGAATCAGATCCATTAGTAAAACCATAGAGACGTTTTAAATCATAGCAAAAAGCTTCATGAATGGTTTCTTGTTGAGAATTAGTAAAAAATATAGAAAAGGCTCAAACACACAGAAAAGAGAAAACATAGAACTGTAAAAAATTTGACAACGTAATTGAATAGTAATTTGCAGCTCGTAGTTAAATAAAGTTTTAAGTAAGTGAGTTCGAGATCGAATGTTAATCAAAATAAGATGAAGAAATGATCTATAAGAAAATAGATTTGAACAATGAGATATTTCTTCGTAGTATACTGATCAATAATTGACAAATACAGCGAAAGAATAATTATACATCATTACAAAATTTCATTATCATTAATTTTATAAAAATTCTCAAAATTCCATCATTCATCTATGCAAAAATGCTTTAATTTTAAATAAGTAGTGTTCTCTTGTTTGAAGAAATTATAGGTAACTCATCATATTTGATTGAGTTTACATAATTTATTGTCCGCGCATTGTTTAGAAGAAGAGAAATAAATAAATAAGTTGTTATTGCAACAATCAATGTATTGCCAAAACGAAAAAAAGAAATTCCAATAAATATATAAAAAAATAACAAACAAGACAAAGAAATATGACTAGTTCAATTTTTGATAGATGTTGAAAATGTCTCAATGGGACAGCTTTCAAGAACGTTAGAATGTCAATACTACCTTCATCATAACTTTGCCACAATTTCATTAAACATTCATCAATGATAACTTTATTTTTCCAATGTTTTGAAGTAGGAGATTCATATCATCTCGTTTCTTTTTTTACAATTAATACTAACGATTGTTCTTTTTTGTAATAAACCAATTACAATGTTAATGTTTGGGTGTGGAGAATTCAAATATTTTTTTCATATGAAAATGTCAACCTTCCAAATAGTTAATAGTACATAGTGTTATATTACATTTAGAAAATTTATTAAAATTTTTTTCTGAAAATACATTGGTTGTCGCCAGAGATGGGCAGCTCCGACTCCGGAGCGGTCGCTCCATGGAGCTAGCTCCACTCCAGGAGCGAGAGCGGAGCGATTCATCAGAATGATGGAGCTGGAGCGGAGTTGGAGCGAGTTTTTTCCACTAATACCGGAGTCGGAACGGAGCGCTTCCTAAATAAAATGGAGCTGGAGCGGAGTCGGAGCGACATTTTATTTATAGCTCCAATGATAAGCTCAGTTTTCGATTTATTGTTCTATACAAAATGACGGAAGAATTAATGAGAGAAAGCTCGTCATCGTCGAATTATCGAAATGGATAGCCCATTGTGACATTTTAGTCAATAGCAATCTCTGAAACAATGACTGACCGTTTATATACAGTTTTCTTCTTTGTCTAATTGAACTAAGCTATTGTTACTTTGGAAATGGAAGAAAATGACGTCGAGAAAGAGAGAAATTGCATAATATCAAATGTGAAAGGTGAATAGTGCCGAATCAGAATAACATTTCTCAGCTAGGTGTCACTTGAACGAACACGATTATCATGGCCAAAAAAAATGCACGATCATGATATCGATGAATCATTTTCCGTTACTATCGTCTACAATAACGATTCAGTGTCATCATATAATGAAAAAAAAGCGAGTACCGTTCTTGAAAAGTAAACGTTCTTCATATTATATTATAACTAAGTTAAATATATTGTTAATCAATGTGTTATTTTTTTGTACTTTATATACATGCTTCTATATTTAGACTAATACGAGAAATTCACTGAACACAGCTAATCATAAAGCATTAATTAAGAAAATTTGTTGCAGGAGTGGAGTCGAAACGGAGTCGGAGCGGATTTTTTTAATTAAGGGTAGAGCTGGAGCTGAGCGGATACTTTCGGCGAGGAGCGGAGCTAGAGCGGAGTCGGCAGAATATTTCTTAATCTTGAGCGGAGTCGGAGAGGAGCGGTCTGTTATTGACTGGAGCTAGAGCTGAACTGGAGATAGAGAGGGTCGGAGCTGCCCATCTCTGGTTGTCGCAATGACGACTCCTTTGTGGGTTTTTGTTCTTCTCGATGATCAACGGACAGTAAACCATGTACATGGTTAGATTCCTTCTAATATTTCAAAGATAATACATTTGATTATTTTTTATTTCTTTAGATGTTATTTTCTGTCTTTATTATCATCGTTACTATTTCCTTTACTCAAGGTTTAAGTCGATTGAATGAAACTGTCATTCGTCAAAATCGTCCTCTTTCACCAGCATTCTTTGATGAAATTATTGTTGATGGTGCTTTTGATGTATTTTTAAGTCAATTAAATGGTATATCTACTCCTACGGTTGAAATTGAAGTAGCTGCTTACGCTCAAAAGCATATTGTTGTTGAAATTCTTGATAAGCATATTCTTTCAATTCGTGTTAAAGGTACCTTAGTGATTCATAAAAATATCAATGCTTATATACGATTTAATTCACCATTACAACGTTATACGATTAAAGGTACAGGTAATACAAAGACCGATGATAATGGTCTAACAAATACCGGTAATGAAAAATTTGTATTGGAGAATCGAGGTACAGCTAATGTTGCTATGCTATTGAATGTTAATGAATTTGAATTTTATTTATCTGGCACTGGTAATAGTCGTTTTTGGGGTCAAGTACGAGAAGAAGCTATGTTCGAAACAAAAGGTGTTGGTGATGTTAATGCTATGAATTTATTAACTAAACAAGTTAGTGTCTATTCGGCGGGAGTTAGTACAGTACGAGTAGCAGCTACAGATGATGTTCAAATTGAAGTTACTGGTGTATCAACTATTTACTATCGTTTACCAGCTGGAAAGAAACCAAGTAAAGAAATATCAACTGGTCTCGGACAAATTATTCATGTTTCTTAAAGTTAATAAATAAAATAGTTATTTAATTAAACTGTATAAATTATTATTATAGAAAATGTTTATTTATAAATAGAATTACTTGATAATATAGATATATATATATATGTATAAAATAAAATTATGAAGCAAAAAAACAAGCACTTGTTCTATAACGATCATAATAAAGCGACAATTTCTATGCTATAATTGCCTCACTGATTTCCAACATTCATGGGTAAAACTTGGATTCAAGGTTGATCATGTTTACTACATATAGAGATTCCTATAGTTGGTAATCTTTATAAAAGGAATAGAAATGATTCATACAGCTTCTGCTCTTGTTTTGTGCAGGGTACCCACTTGATGGTGCATAATTTTGCTCGCTAAACAGGTTTTTTGCACTTCTTATTTACAAAGAGAGTGATTCATCGCTTCTTATTATTTTTCACCTATTTATGTTGGCGAATTGCACCATGTTGTGACACTCCTAAGGCATACATATAAGAAGCGATGAAGCACATTCATTACTCGTTATTTTCTTTTCTATTCTCATATTTTTATTATAAACGTCGTTACAGTTCTCAAAATAATGTCAATTGCAACCATTCCATTAAAACGTATTACTTTATATAAAAATGATTTAGGTTATTTTGAACGAATAACGCCTGTTTCAAAATTACCAACGCTTATTCTGATTGCTAAAAAACACAAGAAACTAGTAATTGATACATTATGTACAACAGCTAGTACAGTGACATTTGATACAGAAGAACATGATAAATATGTTACTGAAAATACAGTTGAACATTTTTTTACTTTCAATGACTTTTCATCATCAACTTCATTTGCTAGTTTTCTTAATACATGTATTGGAGCTGAAATTGCTTTATCTATTCAAGGTGATACTAAAGAACAATTAGGTAAATTGGTTATGCTTGATGAAAAACAAACATTACTAAGCCCAAATTCAACTGAAACAACAAATCATTATATTCTTCAAGTTTTAAATAAAGATGGATTTATTCGTCATTTTGATCGTAAGTAAAAGATTTTGTGCACTTAAGAAAACAAAAATAATAAAAATCTGTCTATTTTGATTAGTTTCTTCTATCAATGGTATTAAACTTACTGATGTATATTTACAAGAACAACTTGATAAAGTCTTAAATAAAACATTAGACAATCATAAACCATCATTAAATACAACTTCTAACTATGTTCGAATCTTATTCAATAGTAATAATTTATTACCATCTTCAAATAAAGCTACTGCTACTACTACTACAACTACTACTACGACTACAAATACTCTTGATGAATCAAATATACTTAAAGTGTCTTATTGCTACACAACAAAAGAATGGCGTTGTTTATATCGATGTGAAATTGATTCATCTATATCCAACAGTAATAATTCAACTGTTGATCTAACTTTATTTGGTTCAGTTAATAATCCAACTGACGAAGATTGGTCTCAAGTTGAACTCATACTTGTTGCTAATGAACTTGAAATTTTAAATAATAATAAATCAACATCTACAACTAGTATTAATCGTGAAGAAGCAGAACATAGTGATAAAAGATTATCGGGTGGTATGCAAGTTTTCATTAAAACATTGACAGGCAAAACAATAACGATAGATGTATGTATAAAAAAGAATTTATTTGTTGATGATCTATAATTGTTTTTTTTTTTTTTTTGTTAATACAGGTCGAACCATCAGATACAATTGAAAAATTGAAATCAAAAATTCAAGATAAAGAAGGTATTCCTCCAGATCAACAACGTATGATATTTGCTGGAAAACAGTTAGAAGATGGAAGAACATTAGCTGATTATAATATTCAAAAAGGTAATTATTGTTTACTATATATATATATAGTAAATAAATAAGAGTTCTATATGTTTTATATATATATATATTTAGAGTCTACTTTACATTTGGTACTTCGATTACGCGGTAGTCCAGGTGATGACGGTAGTTCAACTGCTTTAAAAAGAAAAAAAACTACAAATAGTCCGAATGTTGTTGTTGATGATGATGAAAATTATGAATCAATCGATTCAAGTCAAATGAGTGGTCTTAGTGAACATGTTGTTTATAAAATAAATACACCAGTTACTATTCGATCATATGAAAGTGTTTTAGTAACAATAAATAAATGGCAAATGGATGCCCAATTAGTGCTTTATTATGATCCAAAAATCAATGATTTAAATGCAATTAAAGCTGTTCATTTACGAAATAATAGTGATGTTGTTTTAGCACCAGGAAGTATTGCTGTTTTGGATAATGGACGTTTTGTTGCTCAGTGTGCTTTTACACCGATGTTGCCCAATGATGATCAATTAATTAAGTAAGTTTAAAGAAAATATTCTTTTTTTTTCTTATTGTTTCTTTTTCATTTATTAATTTTAATTTCGTTTAGTTATGGTTTTGATTCAACGGTATCTATTCTTCGTACAACTCCAATAGCACTTCAAGAAGTTCATACAGAAAGTGTTGATATAATTTATGCTGAAATTGATAAAATTAATACAAATGTTGTTCCAACTGGTATTGATCTTCAACAAATTTATATAAAACGTACACGTTATTTGATTAAAAATAATTCTTTAAATCGCCCAGTAACAAAATTTTATATTGATCATGTTGCTGATCCATCATTAGGTGGCTATGTTGTCACAACACAAAAAAGATGTATTAAGTCGGTTATGGGTTTTAGTCGTTTTGAATTAAAACTTGAACCACAACAAGAAATTGAATTTGTTGTTGATGAACAAGCACATCATAGTAAAAAAATCTTTGAAGCGTCAGCACTTGAATTATTTTTAGAAAAACAAGTTCCTGAACTTCTTCAATTGAAACTAATTGATGAGAAAACAATTAGTTTAATTCAAAAAGTTATTACACATAAATATGTTCAACAAGTTCTTCGATATATAATTGATAGTACTATAACAGATAGTCAAATTCGAACATGGACACCAAAACGTGATTTAATACCAACATCATTATTTGATAAAGCTGTTGCTATTGTTGATATACAAATGGTTTCACGTGAACTCGAGAAAAAAATTAACTCACTTGAAGCACATATTAAATCTATATTTGAAAATCAAGAACGTATTAGACAAAATATAAAATCATTAGAAAAAATTGATAAATCTGATTTAATGATACGTTATTTAAAGGATTTAAATACTGAAGAAGATGATTTACAACAAACACGACGTGAAATAAAAACAATGAAAGATGAATACAATCAAAAACAACGAGAATTAGAAGAAAAACAAGCATCACTTAAACATGAAGCAAAAGAGACACAAAAAAATCATCGCATGTAAATTTTTTTAATCATTAACTTATAATAAACTTGAAATTAATATTTACTTATCAAATATCAAATTATTATCTTAAATCAATGTTATTGACAATTGCCTTTGTTTAATCTAATCTATTTTAAATTGTAATAATATTTTTACTATCAATATCACCTATCCGACAAAGGAGATCAGAATTTATCAAATGGTTTACTCACCTACATACACATTCTTGATAGACTAATTTGTTTTTTTTTTTCTTATGGTAATGAATGGAATAGGAGTTGTGCTGATCTATAAATCTCTCGAATTCTTTTTTTTTCCTTCTGAATATTATTATAGCGACTATCTTGTAGACATTCCTCTGTTCAATACAGGATACTACTTATATTGAAAATTTATTTAACGTAACAATAGATTTACAACAGTTTCTAATGATAAAACAAGACGATCATCCATAGAATATGTAGATCATTTTTCAATAACAGAAGCACATATACTCATTTACTTTACTATGAATGAAATATTTGATACAAAAGTCAATTTAATTATGCATATTCATTATTTATACTATAACCAAGTCTAACATTATATTCTGCAATGCAAGGTGATCGATTGAGTCACTGCTGCTGAAATACAAAAATAGATATTTGATTTTTCACAGTTCTCATTTTCATTTCAAAATTTCTCAAAGTCAAAAAAAAGTTTTAAATAACTTATCAAAAAATTTAAGGTATCATCCACACGCAATGCATTGACTTACATATCCAATTGTATCTTATATTTATAAGCATACTATCTCAATAGTAGACATATTTGAAGAAAGGATATGCAGTATAAAATGTGCTTTATTTCTAAACAATAGAACGTATTTTCGATCTGTTTCATAAGGAAAAAATACATCATGGTTATTATCAGCTTGTTTTTCATGTTGTCATATTCGATCACGCATTGAATATCAAATCTTGACAATAAAAATTATCACATAAACTAAAAAGTATAGAACAACTTTAGCAGATGACGCAAACTTAAACAACATGAGCATATTAATCATGTCACTGTAACTACGTAATTCTAATAATACAATCATATAATCATTTCATTAGAGTGTAAGTATTGATTTGACTTGAGTATATATCCTGAATGTTCTGTTTCCGATAGAGCCATTATATTCATTGTATTGTCAGAAAATCTGGAAGTATTTTTAGGCTGACTTAAAGGTATTTAAGTGAATGTGTATGAACATAGGATTATGATTAAAGATGACATATATATGGTGTGATTGTATGATTAGAATTATAGTAAAACATCTACAGTGCGAATACCGTGTGGATCGAACAAATAGAAATCAAAATATTCGTTTTATAAGTTTTCACATCCTGTTAAGTGTCCTTTATTATTTTATTGAATAGGTTTTGACTGTTACTATCTTAAATTTTTTAGATAGACAGATTTCAAACATCACGTTTAGATCCTGCTTAATAAGATTTTCAATACTATCGATGATGGTTTGACTAAAATCATGTGTCCCTTTCCAGAGTATTTGACACCACATTCATCGACACCTGCGATTTATCTCTTAATTCACGATGAGATAAACTAGGTTATTTTCTATTTTTACTCTGAACCAAAAGCATTGCGAAATACCATATCTGATCAACAAATGTTGCAAAGCCATTGAAAAAGACAATAATATCTGTTTGTCCATTCTTTTACTTTTTTCTCTTTTTTTTTGTACCATTATTGAATTCGATCATAGAGCCAATTAATTTCTTGATAATCATCTCTACAGCTTCAATAATAACATTTATTTAAGTAGCATCTTTTATTGATGTTTACATTGACCAAGTCCATGCATAGATCGCCACCAAAAAGAATTTGTTCACAGTCAGAACCAAAGATGTTCATAAAGAAAGAATGTTTACTGCAAGATGATTTAATATATGTAGTTCGAATGATATGATCGATATGCTTATGTTTTACCGATATTGATATCACCTTTCGGTGACTTTTCTTTCCCTGTTATCCTCTTCTTTGCTAGTCTTTCTCTTTCAATCTCTTCTGTATAAGCGTGTATCGTTTGTAAAATACTTCAATAAACATTATTAGTGAGAATGATCGTAAGCTAGTCTTTCGATTAGTTATGAAGATGTTGTTTTAGTTTATGCTGGCTATTCAAAATTGCTTTGTAACTGATCAGTTGCCATTTTCAAGATTTGATATTGAATGAGTGACTGCTTATTACAAGATGAAAAACAAGATAATGAAAACCATTGTACATTTTTCCACACTAAAAGATTTTTCCACACTAAAAGAGATCGAAAGTATTACGTCTACTGTGGAATTATTTCACAATAATTTCAAGTTCAATTTTTCGTATTAAGGAATCTATTTTAAGTTAAAAAAAAACGCTTTTATTAAGTATTTAATGTAAATAAGAAACTTATTTCAAATAAAATAAAAATATCATATGTATACAAAAAAGAAAAACAAATTGTAATGAGTCATGTGTATATGTACTTAAAAAGACATTGAAATTATTTCTTCATCGTTTTCAGAATCGGAAACACCCAAAGGAAAATTCACTATATAATCAATAGAATTTTTTGAATCTGTATCATCATCATTTATTTTATAGGATTTTAAATCGTTTATGAATTGTTCAATTTCAATTTTTATTCGATCAAACGGATGATTGTCTTCTTCTGATGACGAATAACGTAGATTTTCAAGATCTTGATTAAGTTTATTAAGTTGTTTTCTAAATGACAAGAGAATTTTAATGTGTTCAGTATTGTTCGATTTTGTTAATGATTCAATCGCATCAAGTGATGTTTCAATATGAGATAATTGTCGACTATAAAGTTTAAGTAATTTTTTATCTTTTGAACTTTGTTTTGATTTCAATTTTTTTATCGATGATAATGAGGACGATAGCTTTTTAGAATGTCCTACTAACACTGGATGCGTTCCACTTGCATGAAATATTGAACGATGAGATGAAGATTTTTCAGCTTCAAACTTTGACAAAAGGGAGCTGTCTTTATATGCAGGATCTTTGGCTGCAAACATATGACTTAAACGTTCAGAACCCATTTGTTATAGTCTAAAAGTAAAAAAAAATAATATAACAGAAAGTTACAAACGAACACGAACGAAAATACAATAGTATCATATAACTTTGTTCTTCTCCTTGAATTTATATTTCGTTATTTACTTCTTGCTTGTCACTACTTCTTTCGTTCTTACAAACGTAAAAGGGACATTTAATACCACAAGGTTAATATTAATGTATTCTATATATATGCGTATGTATTTCAATACATAACTTGGATAGATGAAGAACTTTTCTATTCATAATAGAATATGCCATTCATTGACCCCCTTGTAACAACAACTATAAATAGAAACAGTGAAATGTTTTTTTATAAATGCGTAAAACACAATAAAATACTACGCCCAACTACTGTTTGTTATTATTTTATTTTTCTTTCTTTCTTTCTTTCTATCACCATCAACAAATTAATACATCTAACTACAATAGAATGTATAGTACGTGTATGTTTATGCTTTTATTTCGAAAAAACGATGAGAAAAGCAAATAGTACAATAGTGACAATGACGTAAGAAGGTTTATTTATGGTAGATAATGAGTATGATGTAGTCGAAGTAGTTGTTGACAATGAAGTAGGTAATGCATTACGACATTGAGTGAAATCTGGTAAACCATCAGTTGGACGAGGAATTTTAACTGAAGGTAATGACCATAGAAGATCTTCACCTAACAACGGTTTTGAACCAAATACTCTTGACCATTCAAATTCAGTTATATTATAAAAACGTTCATAAGTTCGATCTCGTTTAAGAATTTCACGTGAAACATCAATTAAATGAGAACTAAGCATAGCTACTACTGTTGTTATTTTTGAATCCCATGTTATAACTGGTGATATAGATTGACCATTAACATTAGTTGCTTCTGTACTTCCATACATATTTTGCATAGCTGGACCTTGAAGCATATTTAAATACCAAGCTAAACCAATTGATTCATTAGCCATAATAACAGGAAAACTTGCATATGGTGTAACAACTGACTCATGTTCAATTGGTTGAAAAGCTATTTGTTGAATACCGCATGCACTCCAATAATCAACTTGATAAGTACCAGGTTTAGCATCGGATGCTACGCTAGCATACAAACCTGGTATATGATTTTGTGCTGAGTGATATACACGTACTTTTTCTCCATTAGTAAATAGACGATTTTGAAGGTCAATATCTCGATAAGGTAAATAGAAATATTTCCATTGTTCATGACTTGAAAACCAAAAACCACGTTGGACAGTGACTTGTTTTTGTGTAACATTAGTTGATTGTGTACTTGTATTGTATTCATCACGAACAAGACGAGCACGTTTATATGTCCAAATACGATTACGTTCGTCCATTGTATAATTATATAATGTCCAAGGAGAATATAAATCCATAAAATATGCCATTAATTCCCCTATACAATAATAAATAAATCAAATTGATATTGAACAAAAAAGCAAAAATGAATTTCTAATATAAATACCTTCATATGGATCATCTAATAAACAAGTACCTCTTGTTACATAATTATTTGGATTTGTTGTTTGACTTTCATTAAACATATCTAATATACCTGATTCACATCGAATACCACCTCTTTCTGCTTCATAAAATACTGGTATAGATGTTTGTGTCATAAGTTCAATACGTTGTTGATATTTATCAGCTAAATTAAATAATTTTTTAGTCTTAAGTGTTTCAATTAAAATTTTTATGCTCCATATTAATTGTCCATTATCAAGACCAGGTACTTTAGATTCCCAACCATTGAGTAAATTCATTGCTGAACCATTAGCAGCAAACCAAGGTAAAAAACCACCAAAACCAGGATAACGTCGATGAAAATCATTATATGATGCAATTTTTCTTTCTAAAATTTGTACAATATCATCTTGTGATGTATTACCAAAAAATTGTCGAGCATATATGTCATCCATCAAATATAATGACAGCATATTAACATGAAGTGCTTCTTTTGAAGCTGCTGTCCAATATTGTAAATTTTCATGTAAATCACCTGTTGTATAATCTATTTTATGACCATCATATGTTATACCTATTTCATGATTATATCCAACTCCGTAGCCAAACTTTCCCTCCCACAGACACATATGCATTTTAAATCGATGAATAGCATCATTTCGATTGTAAACAAGATCATCAATAGTAAATAAATCTGCAAATCGACATGTTGTTTGTCCCTCTAGAAATTTTATATTTTGGACAAAAACAAAAGCAATAAATAACAACACCTTCATGAAAGTCGTACTATTATCAAAATGCGTCTTTTAAATTTTGATAGCTATGATATTTATTTTTTTGCTTATCAAGAAAAAATGTCAATTTAAGTATCCTTGTATATTGACAAAGACTATGTTAACAAACAACAAATCCTAATGCATTTCTACACCTAGAAAAAGAAAGAAATAGCAACAAGAAGTTATATCGTTAAAAAAACCGGTGAGAAAACAAAAAGAAAAAGAAAAAAGATCAACACAAATTTTAAAGGTATATACCTTATTACTACATTTTACAACACAGAAAAGAGTAATCAGTGCCAATGACTAGGCAAATTCACATTTTAATATTTTTAACTTTTGGTTGAAATACATCTGACACACACACACAGACACAAACTAAAGTATCTACATTATCGGACAAAAAAAAAAGTTATCTTAAATTTAATCTGAACGTTTTTGCATACTAGGTGGCATATCAAATGGATTAAGTGTAACTGGCATAAATTGATATGGATTTGTAATAATCGCTGTATTTACTGCTGGAAGTTTTTTTGGACGTTTTAAAACTTTAGGAACTTTTGGTGGATTTAATAATTTCTTTTTATCATTATATAATTTAACAAGTGCACGTTGTTCTTGTAATAAAGCTTTTTGTTTTTCTTTTTTTGTTCGTGGATCAAAATCTTCATCATCAAGATTAATATCAGCTATTTCATCTTTTGATACAGGCATATCAGTTACTTCTTTTAACGGTGGTAATTCAGCTGCTTTACCAGCTGGAAGTGGTGGAGCTTCTTTTGGAAATAATAATTCTGTTAAACGTTCAAGACCACGAGCTTCTTGTGCTGTTGATATACCAGCACGAGCTTGTGCACACATGGGTGGAGGTGGTTGATACGGATTATATGTATTTAATGGTGGTGCTGTTATTATTTTTCGATCTTTTTTTGAATCGTTTGATGTTGTTTCTGAACTAATTTGAGTAAAATTTGTATTATTATTGTTATTATTATTATTATTATTATTATTTTTATTTGCAAGATTAGCTAAAGTTTTAGCAATAGTTGATTGATATTCAGCTTGTCGTTCATCTCGTTCAAGTTCTTTAAGAGCATAATATTTTTCTTCACGTGTTAATTGTTCTTCAATATGATTTTCAAGTAAAGAATCATGTTCAAGAATATTCTGTATTAATTTAGGATTTTTTTCTACACAATTTCGTAATATAATATCATCTGGTAATGTTTGTAATTTATATTCTTGTGGTTCATCTTCTTCAGGTTTAAATGAATAAAGTTCACGTAATTCAGATTCAGTAAAATGTCGAGCAAGTTGTTGAGCATCAACAACACTGAAAAAAAGAAACGACTAAATTTCATTCTTGAAAAATAAAGCAATCTATATTATGTATCCGCATTTTTCCGAAAATGCCATGATACTCATTCGCTGAGTAACGACAAGCTCCAAGTTACAATATACAGTAAAGTAAATATTCAACTCATTGAGAAGTTTTAGTAGATTTCGTCTAACCAGATAGATGTCCAAAGCAAAACCCATATATTTCAGAGTATAATGGCTTTGGATGTGGGTCGAGGATGTCGATGTAGGTGTAGATTTCAAAAGGCGTGCGGTAAAGATAATATCGACATCCACACCGTTTACTTCAAATCCTGAACTCTAAAGATTAGTTATGAGCAAGATGGAATCGGAACCGAGACTAAGACGAGGACCAACACATTTTTATTGGAAGCGATATCTTCTATAATCATATAAAACTTGCATCGAATGTCATATTGTCATGACTAATGTATTCTAAATAGATATGAGTAAAATGGTTCAATCCCGACGGAGTCGAAAACGACCTGTCTTGCTTATGCCTAGCATTGTCGTCCAACATTCACTCATTATGTAATTAATGACTTTTTTTATCATTCATGATTACAACTGGCAATAGACAAAAAGAATAAAAACCTTTTCTTGTATATACTCAAAATATTATTAATGAACATGTAAAAAGCTTACCGTTGAGCCATAGCTTGTTTATTAACTTGACGAAAATAAATTCTCTCTTCCATAGAACCTTTACTTAATAATCGATAAACATACGTTGCTTTTTTTTGACCCAAACGATATGAACGAAATAAAGCTTGCAAATCCGAAGCTAGGTAATACAAAGACGAAAAACTTTGATATAAATTTAAATTCCTTCATATTACTTACAAGGATTCCAACTACAATCAAATATAACTACACGATTACTACCAATTAAATTAATACCAATACCACCAGCCATTGTTGAAACAATAAAAAGACGTGAACGAATATTAGCTGCATCATTAAATTTTGCTATATAACTAGTTCGTGTAGCAATATCTGTACTACCTAAAAAACAGAAAAAAACGAAGCTGTATCTTTCATTATTTAATAATTAATTAAAATTAATACAAACCATCAATACGAAAATAATCAATACCAAATTTCCATCGACCATTAGGTTTAACTTTAGCATCAAAATCATCTGCTTGAATTTTTTTTCCACTAGCAAGTGAATCCCAATATTTAAGATATTGTTCCAAATATGATAGTGAAAAAAGTGAACGACTAAATAATAAAACTTTATCACCAATTTGTTCACATTCATCAAGTAGTGTTTTAAGAAATGTTAATTTTCCACTTAAACTAATATCATATTCAGCTGTATTATCAAAAAATGAGAACCACCATTCATCATTCATTGCTTGTTGACATGGATCATTTGTTGAATAAGATGATGATGTCGTTGAAGCACGTGCTGATGCTGATGATGATGTCGATGTATATTGTTTCCAATTTGTATTATTAAATAAAGCCAAAAATTCTGAAGTAGATGACGATGAATTTGAACTCGAATTACCATCATCTTCATCCTTTTTATGTCGATGATGGTTGGATTCACCAGTTTTCTACAATAAAATTAATCGATCAATAACTATATAAATTCAACAAATGGCAAATAATTATTTATATTCAATATTCAAAGTTACAATGTTTCTTTAATTCTAAATTATTATACAAACGAATAGTTAAATGTATATATAGTGTCTTATTCAATGTAAGATTCGGAAAGGCAGAAGAAGAATATCTCTTTATTTCATCTACCTCGCGGTATCTAGTGTTGTCTAGCGACAGATTCAACAGCCAGATATTTTCGCTACAATTATGATTAGACGTAGCCCTACATAGAAGGTCGATTTGATGCAGAGTTCTTACGCTAACAATAGGGACTAACTAATCACAAGAGTAGATGTTTGTTATCATGCAGTTAGCATCCTATTGAATAGATGATCCAAGATAAATAGCTGTTAATGACATTCCATGGCTGATCCTACTGAGGCTTTCATACGGTATATTATAGATACGTATCATATAGCGTGGTCATTCAACGATCGGGAGTCTATTCGGACGAATGATGGACCTTCGAAGATTGATTGTACTTGCCAGAAAAAAGGAATCTTGTTAAAACACGACGTACTTTCCTTTTGCTTATCAAGTTTTAGGAATAAAACAGAGCAATTTTATTTTGTCCTACTGATGGAAATATTACATAAGTAAGAATTTCCAAAGTTTGCCATATAAGATTAGCTCTTGCGTCTGTCTACAAAACAGATAGTCCCTTACATAGTCTTCGACATTGATAAGTAGATTCTTTAATATTAATTATATTCATAGTTAAATTATCAAACAAAAAAAATAGCTATCTCGTAATTTAACTTGCCCAATAGATACAGAAGTCAATTTTCATATGTAAATATCTTCGGCAAAATGTACTATCTCAATAGATAAATCAAATAAATTGTTATCTTTGCACAAGTTTATTCTTATTTGGTCATTTGTGACAGGAGTATCAACTCTCAGGTCATTTACTTATTATCGTTCTTTTCTCATTAGGAGATCTACGACAATTGTAGTTTATGACAGATAATCATCGAACAGATTTTATCTTAATTTTAAAATGAGTCATGCATAATAATATTCATTCAAGCAATAAATTCAATCATTCGAGTATCACTCAAACTGATCAATATATCTATCTACAGATCAATGCTGATGATCATCTATCAATAAAAACTTTATCTTATAAAAAAAAAAACAAAAAAATTATAAATACCATTTTTGTTGTTAATCGTTTATTTGGTGCTGATTGTTTTTTTTGTGGTTCATCTTCAACAGCCATATCATCATCTGATAATCCAGCAAAAATATCATCAAAAAATGGATCAATCTTATCTGATTCATTATCATTATTTTTCTGTTGTTTTTTCCAACGATCCATAAAATGTGGTCGTAATAACCATGGATGCTAAATATATCATATCCTTTATTTAATCAATCTTAAAAAACAAACAAACTTACTGTCCAAATTTTCATTAAATATTGATAATCAGCAAATAATTTTGCCGTATTGAAACCAGCTAAATCAAAAGCAACATTTCAAATAAATATCATTAAAAACTAAGAAACAAACTTGATGGATCAATATTTTGAATTTTTAAATATTTATTATAAAGTTGTTTTTGTAAATCACACATATAAATTTTAATAACATATTCATATTTCTCTGGTAAATATTTTCGAAGTACATTAAAATCTCGACTAAAAAAAAAAACAAATATTATTGAAATAAATACAGAAAAAACAAAAATGAAAGAAGAATTTTACCGATGTGTACAATGTTGTAAACGTTCGTGTAAAGCAAAAGCACGTCGTTTCATTAATTGTACAGCATATATATTTGAATCTTTATGTTGACCAGCACGAATAGGATCAATAAATTGATTTTTAAATTCACGATAAGTACCCACTAAAAAGAAAAATTTTCTATTTATTAAAAAATGAAAAATAAATTATGTATTAAAATTTACATAAATGTGGTTTAACAAAATGAACCATATAATAATATTCTCGAAGATTATTTTGTAATGGTGTACCAGTTAAAATAATACGTCGTTTAGTACGAATTTTATTTAATGCTTTTGAAATTCCAGCTTTAGCATTTTTAAGTACATGACCTTCATCACAAACGATTATATCTGGACCTGGATCTGATAAGAAAAAATTATAATCAGCATCATTTGATAAACGACGATAGATTTCATAGCCCATTAACATAACACCACCTTTATCATTCCATTTTTCTAAACGTTCCCAACGTGCAGATTTTGTTTTAAATAATGAAAACTGATAAACTTTTATTGTTGGACGAACACCTGATAACCAATAAGAAAATTCTGCTGCCCAATTTGATATAACATTAACTGGACAAAGTATAAGACAAGTACGTGTACGTGTTATATCACTATGTTTAAATATTGTATGTAAAAATGATATTAATTGAAATGTTTTTCCTCTAAAAAAATAATAAATATATATGAATATGATAGATTTTATCTCAAATAATATTTATTATGAGAAATATTTTGATATTTGATTATAATCTGTCATCTGATTATTTTTTTTACAAAAGTTGAACAGAATCAAATGAATCTCATTTTTTTATTACTAGTGTGCTTCTAAAATCATAATGACAAGTTAATTAAATGTTTTGACATCTTTTGCCTAAGGTTTTTCGAATCAATGATCTATAAAGTAAGTGATTAATTATGCTGCAGAACTAAAGATTATAGTCAATGTCAACGCGTAATTTGAAATCATTTGATCAAATTGTAAAATATAACAAAATGAAATTATATATGATCTAACAAATTGACAAAAGATCTTACGAGAGTAGTCCCTCAACTAGATATGAACAGGAATAAGTTCTTTCTTTTTTATCTCAGTCATAGTTCTAGTATATCTGTTGTAATCCTGGTCTGACACATCTCTACTCTAAACTGAGTATCCACTTTTAAGTAGAAAACATGTGCATCATGTAGACTTGAATGAATTATAAATAGTCCAAGAAGATTATGAGATCACAACTTATTACTGTAGACGTATATTAATTTTAGTGATTTGTAGTTCCATGCCGCAGTTCTCTTCAGGAATACAAGAAAAATTGATTCCTGAATTTCGATTCATAGCTTTGCGTAGAAAGAAGCATTAGTGAAAACAGTTTTTTTGTGAAATTTTGATATATTGTCATTACACCTATTCGAAAATAAAGACATAGTAAAAGCGTGTCTCTTACATCATTCATATAAAATCATCAGATTCGCTGTTCTTCTTCCAGCAGAAGGAACAGACCAAATGGTCTGATACATTCATGATTCACTATTCTCGTCATTCTATGCAAATTTTCAAGTCCAAATTGAAAGATCAATTTTTCTAGTATTCCTGAGAAACACCACAGTATTCTATTGAAAAATGCATTTTGTTAGTATCAATAAGCCGTGGGCTTGAATCCTTTTCAGAGTGCTCATAATCCACTAGAGTTCACATAAGGTACAAAATCTGACCATAAAAGAGATGAATCAGTTGAAGAACAGGTTTCATTAACTTAAAATTTGAAACGTATCTTTTCACAACAACTAATCTTCTTCTATCATGACCTTAGTTTGATCCAATTATTACAGGTTCGATCTATTGGAACTTCAGATTATCATCTTTCTATCTTCAAATGCTATCTCTGTGACATTTGTTTTCGATTAATTAGAATAAAGTTCATAGAAAAATAACATTACTTACAATCCCATATGATGAGCCAAAATGCATCCAGTACCAATATTATTTTTTTTAATTTGTGCAATTGATTCAAACACATTATCCCATAAAAACATAGTTCCATCTAGTTGATGAGGTTTCATTTTAGCTATTAATTCAGGAAGTACCCAAATAAGTGGTTTATTCGTATTTGAATCATATTCAAAAATCAATGATTTAGTTTCTTTTTTCTCATCTTCTTTTTTAACCTTATTGTCCAAACTAAAATTATCTTCATCATCATCATCATTATCATCATCAGTTAAAATTTGTGAAGATGGCGGTAATTGTGATTGTCTTTCTTGAATACGTTGTACACGTTGTCGTTCATCTTCTAATGCTTGTTTTGTCATTACTGTTAAATCTTCATCATGTAACATTCGTTGTTCAGTTTTTTTAATTAATGCTTTATCATCCATTTTTTCAACATCTGTATGGTAATCTTCATCAGTAACAACATCATCATCAGATGTTTCATCGAAATTTTTCTTCTTTTTTTTTGCTTGTGCTCGTTTAAATGTTGGTATAGGTGGACGAGCACGTTTTCGTGATTGACTATCATCACTTGATAATGATGATGATGATGATGTTTCTTGACGTTTTTTTTGTTTTATATTTATTGAACGTCGGGAATAAGTTAAATCATCATCACTATTTTCCGATAGAGCATGATTAACTTTAACAACTGGTGGTTTACGTTTGCGTTTTATTGGTGAAACTTTTGGTGCTTTTTCAGTATAATCCTCATCATCATCGTTACTAACTGAATATCTATTAAAAAGAAGAAAAAAAACATCAATATTTGATCAAAATTCAAAAACATTGGATAGTCTTGAGTTTTGTATGATTCAAATTATCGTTTGATCTTAACTGGTAAAGAAACTACAATAACAAAGTTATACTGTATTAAGTTCTATGTCACATTTATATTGGGGGAAAAAAGTACAAATTCGTTGAATACATGAAAAGAATTGTGGACATCAATGACTACTTTGACTTTTACTTGTACAAGACGTTTTACAATTAAGTATCAAGGTAACCAAAGGTAACTTTTCGAAACATATAGAACTTAAGACCAGAGACCGTTACAGGGCAGAGCAAAACTTTTTGCCCTGATTCAAAAAAAGTTTTTAACAGAATCTGATTAAAATTCTGTATTTTTATTCGAAAACCGATTAAAATGGCAATATTTTTATAGAATTTTAACCTAATTATTTCATGTTCAATCGATTAAACTTTGTTACTAGATCAACACGTTTGTATTTCATTTAAATTTATTTTTCTAGTACCTTTTTTAAAGAAGTTTTCATGTCAGAAGGCTTTCTTGCTCAGCTCAGGTGTATGTGGATTAAAAAAAAAGTTTAACCAAGGAATCCAATCAAATGTTGCCTGTTAATCAGAAGAGAAGACTTTATTCAGCTCTGTTGAAAAATAGTCGCCTTTAGTTTAATAGCCACGATAAATAAACAATCATTTTGTATTAGAAGTTCGTTCACAGAAGCACAACAAACGCAAAATAGAAGCTAATCTGATTCCTAATTTTGTTTTCAAAAATTCTGAAATTTCTTTAGATTTATTAATGTCAAGCTTGGTTTTTGAGTAACAGACAATTGTTTTACAATTAAAATCACTTTACTCCTATTAAACAATTTTTTTCAGTAAAAAACTTAGTATTCTGCAATATTTAGCTTCTAAAACGTCTACCAACGATAAGACTAAAGTTCAGATTTAAGTTGATTGTTTTTGGATTAAAAATCAATTGTAGTAGCACTACTTTAATCAGATTTTGTCATCTAATAGATAGATTTCATTCGATTTAAAATCTTTTTTCGTCTATCATAATCGATGGCTCAAAATAAAGCAATTATAAATGATTATTAGAAATCGATTTCAATTGATTAAAGTTATTTCACCCAAAATATTATTAAAAAATCTTACAATTAAATGAAATGTGTCTTTTTGACTGAAAACTCTGACTAAAGGCAGTCTAAAATAGTGCTAGTTCAATTAACGTTTACGTCAGACACAATCGATTTTAATCTGATCTTTAATCGTTTTTCTATACGGACAAATGAGTCTCCGAATATATTTTTAAATGTTTGGTTCTATAGGTAAATGCGAGGAAACATCTAGGCGATGAATAGAAGGCCAGTATTGGTAGGGTTACATGAATTTTCGTAATAGAAAGCCATCATGTTTTTATTTCATGGAAATGAGATATGAGTTTTATTTATTGCTATTTTAGTTTATACGTTGAACAAGCAATTATTATCGTATGTTGAAACATGATATGTCAAAGATCGACCTAATATTACACGTACTATTTGTCGTAGTAAGGAGTTCAGAAAAAAAATGAATTTTTTAAGTTTCACTTTCAAAAACACATCTTTCATCCGTATCATAATTGAAAACGGTTGAAAATCAAATAATCTGATTCTAATAGTAGCATTTTCATTCAATTTTTAAGCATAAGAAGTCCATTAAAATTATATGATTTCTAAACCTTGTACAACAGTACTTCTTTCTGGTACACGATGGTGTTTAATTATATAATAACTTTGATTGTGACACTTTAGAAATAACATAAAGTATGGGTACGAAATTCGAAAGCAATCACATAATTTTTATGAAGATTTTAGGTATTGTACTAGGCTTACTTAATTTAGACGCCCTGCCCTGCCCTCCCCTCAGGACAGGACAGAACAAACCAAAAATGAATGAATCATTTTCATGGCAGGGCACAGGGCAGGGCAGGGCAAAAAAAAACTACCCTATGACGGTCTCTGGTTTAGACGCAGACATCTATCGACTTCGAATAATAAGTATATTACCTAATCACACTTTTATGCTCATGGATGCTGAAGATTAACCCTTTACCTCCCAATGGGTCATATATGATCCATTCCGAGCAACCATGTTCAGACTCGAGAATTCTAGTCAAGAAGTAGAAATAAACAATTAATCTTTTACAAGTTTATAGCTTGTCCTCTTCTCTAAACGGCGCTCAACAAACGTTCTAAAATCTTCTTGATTAAATGCTTTGTAAGTCCATGATAAACATTATGAGAAGGACTAAAAAGTGACTTGTTCGGGGGGTAACGGGTTAAGTAAGATGGTTTTATTAGACTCCTGTGGGCCAACCTTTCTTCTAGTCCTGAATTCTGTTTTACTTGCAGCAGGGTACGATCTCGAGTGTTTCGTACAGAAAATTGATGGGACAATCCTATGTGACTTGTGAGAAGGACAAACAAGATTTTTCGGAATTCGACAGAGCTTCATAGGATTCTAATTTTAATAAAAAACTTCACCACGAATTTCATTTCGTTTACAGATAATATCAACGAACAATATAATTCATAAAGCTTTCAATGATTAGGTATAGTAATGAACTATCACAATTAGATAGTTAAACTCTTTACTTGTAGAAATCATTAGAAAAGTTTTCATTTAATTAACCAAAAAAGTCTCCATAGAAATATCTCGATGGAAAACGAAATGTTTGTACATACACTTCTGTTGCATCTGTATCACCAGATGCATTGCTGTCTTTGTTATTATCATTAATAATAATTTTCTTGTTATTAGTATTGTTATTATTATTATTATTTCTTGTAACTGGTGTATTTTTTTCAACATTGTTTGTCGAAGATATTGTACGATCAGGTGGTGTAATAATAATTGTTCCATTGCGTTCATTTCCTACTCCTCGTCGTTGACTTGGAGATGGTAAACGTAAAGTTTCTTTTTTATTACCAGTTTCATCATCACTACTTAATATAGTATAACATTGATCACGTTTTGATGGAGTATTTGTAACAGATTTTCTTTTTGGTGGACGTCCTCGTTTTCCCATAATTAATAAATAAATTAATTTAAAAGCAAACTGACCACATTAAATTTTTACATTAGAGAATTAAAAAAGGTCATTGCCAATGAGACAAAGAAATGTACCTGCTGAAACAAAGCTTTATCGTTCTTAACAATTTGATTTGTTCACCTTTTGACCGAATACATAGATGTCGTCGGAAGATTTTTATTTTTCCTTAAAAATATTTCTATTGAATTAAAATTTTTCAAATTCAATTTTAATTCTAATAACAAATTTTCTTATCTATATTTATTAATAAAAATTAAAAACAAAAAATATTGCAAAAAAAAAAGATATGATGACTCATTATCAATCGTTTCTCAATCGGACGGACAAAACATAAATTTAGTTATTATAGGTCGTTCCGTCGAGTATATTCATCAATAGAGAAAAAAAAAAAAAAAACTAAAATTATGGCCTCTTCACAACGTCTCTATGATAAATTAGAACAATGTAAACAAAATCAAGATTTTTATCAAGCTCATCAAATATGTCGTACAATATATGTTCGTCTTCGTTCAACAACAAGTGATGAAAATATTTTAACATTTCTTTTTGAATCAGCTTGTTATTTTCTTGAACATAATCAATCAAATAGTGGTTATGATCTATGTAAATGTTATATAGAAACATTAAATCGTTCAAATATAAATAATTTAACTGATAATATTCTTAAAGAAATTTGTATTTTATTTCAATTATTAAAATCTATTCATGATGAACGAACAGAATTTGCTTGTAATGTTTTACGTTGGTCATCACAAATACCATATAATCAACAAGAAGATGAACAATTACCTATTCTTCGTTTAGAATCAAATTCATCATTATCAACATCAATATTTTCAACTTTAACTGAATCAAATTCATCAACACAATCAACAAAAAATTCAATTTATCACAAATTTGGTCATCCAAAATTGCATGAATGTTTTGCACATATACTTTGGGAACAAGAAAAAAATTATAAAGATAGTCGTTATCATTATTTACGTTGTTATGATGGACGTTCATTTGCAATAATGCTTATTGAAGCACATCAAAAATTTGGTTATCCATCAGAAATTGATTTATTTATTGCACAAACTGTTTTACAATATTTATTACTACGTAATTTTCATACAGCTTATCTTGTTTTTGTAACATATGTTGAAAAACATCCAAAAATTCAACAACCACCACCAGGACCATTTAATAACGGTTATCCAATGTTAAATTTTCTTTGGTTTCTTTTATTATGTTTAAAAAAAATTCTTGTTAAAACATCAACGAATAATAATGTAGCCAGTGGAGAACCAATTTATCGATCAGGTAAAATTTTTCAGATAGTTTCATTTTCGAATGAATAATCTATATGAAGAACGAAGGTTTTTTCGAAATGATAAATTTCTTCTAATATATTTAGATTATTTTATGAAATAAAACTTGATTATTGGTCTTTTATATAAGAATATGAATGTATTGAAACTAAACCGGAAGCATTTTTAATTCAAACTCTGTACATTAGGTAGATTCTAGTGATATATGAAAAATCTCATAAGGATAAGTTATTTTACCTCTTTTGTCCGGAGTTAAGGACACTTTACTGGTTTTGACATTGTCAGGGCATTCTACTAACAAATAGATCTGTGTGTGGGTAAAATCTTAGGTCGAAATATGGTCATTCAATTTCTTAATGTACGTACGATGCCCGAGGCTAAAACTTTAGTAACATGTCCATAACTCTGAATATAAGATCTAAGGTGACTAATTTTTATAAGGTTTTTTATATATCACTATAGTTTACTTTATGCATAGAGCCTGAATAAAACAGTTGAAAATGTTCTCTCGTAAGAATTATTCGAAATGAAACAATCGAGATTATTGAATGCTTTTAATTCAGTAATCAAAACGATAAGATTTGAGATTCTCAGTTATTTCATATTTATTTCCTTTAGTTCTATTTTTACTGCTGTTCGAGTGCATGATATTTCTTGTGATCATGATGATTCATAAATAATAAGACTTTTCTATTGTTTCAGAGAATTTATTAATCTTTAAAAAAAATTAGTTCCAATGTTTGATCAACATTTAATGACGATGTTAATTTTTAACTTTTTTATTCAAATGAATTTTCTCTTGAGTGCATTTCAATTATGTCAAGAATATGACATATGAATTATAAACTAGTCAGATTTTTTCTTTAGAATTCAAATAATATGTATTTATTATTTAAATCTAGAAAAGATCCTTTCAACATTCGAGGCAATCTTTCATTAGAAAGCTAGTCTATTTATGTCCTTACCAGTATTGTCTTCAGTATGAAAATCAACGTGACGAGGCACCGTCAAAGATTGGGTTGATCCTTCTAGATTCATTTATATAGATTAACTAGTTTTTAAATGATCTAGTTCATATTCTGTTGCAAGATAAATAGAATTACCTTTAATTGACTATAAACAATTTATTCAATTAAAACAAAATTCTATAACATCTGTTAACATTATACTTTTATAAAAGATATTGGCAAGCATGAAATCAATATTAGTAGACTGATCATTAAGATTATATTTTATTTATTATTTTACTCATATTATCTCATAGAAGATTTTTAATGAAATATGATCGGAAGCTGACTACATCAAATATCACCTTTCACAGATGGAATAGTACGATATAACTGGTCTGTATAGATATCAGATCGACCGATACCGGTCGTGAACAATCTAGTCTGATTTCATCTCTTGATATTATTTTCTTTTTTTTAAATCTAATGAAATGCAAAATGTTTTTTATTTAGATGCATTACCATCATCCGAAACGACTCGTTGTTTTTCATCATTGGTCAATGCGTATAAACCATCACTTGAACGTGATTCAACCTTAGTTCAATATGTTGATCGAATTGGTACATTATTTTTTGGTCTTAAACAGAAATCTTCAACACCATCAAATCCTTTTGAAAATCTCATGCAATCATTGACATCAAATCTATCAAATGGTGCTCGTGAAATACACCAACATCAATCTGATTTAGATCTTGATGTTGATTAAACGAACAAAAGAAAGAAAAAAAAACAAATTTTTTTTTTTTTTTAATTGACTAACTAATTAAAATTATAAACCAAACTTTTCATTGTTGATCAGTCGGGTTTTTTTTTTTCTTCATTTTTTTTCCGCTTTACAAGGAGTAAGAGACAGAGACCTATTCTTCTTGTTTTTTTTTTTTTTCTTTTTTTTTTAGTTGCCAAAAATATGAGAAAAAAAAATTTATGCTTCATTTATCTAGATGTTAACAGTCAGAACAAAACAAATAGTACCATCATTGATTTTTCAAGCTTTCGGAAAAAATCAAACAAATTTAGTCCATAGAATCTTATGGATACGGTCAGCTTCAACAGTTCCACCGGGTATTGTAGGAAAACATAAACGTGTATTGCCTGCACATATGTATAAACCAAGACCACGATGGGAAACGGGTGTGAATTGAATAAATTTTAATATAGATTTAAATAAAAATCATTTGTGATTATGTTTCTAGGTGATATTGATCCGTATCCAAACTTTGATTTAAGCAAAATTTTACGACCTGGTTTTGAAAATTCTGAAGAATTAAAAACGTTTGTAATCTTATCTTTGTTTCCTATTTTCTACATAATAACATTTTTGAAATGAATTATTCTAGTGCTGATGATGTTGTTAAACGTATATTTACTCTTGAGTATGCTACTCGAGTATGTCATTCAGCTCTTTTTTTTGTCATTTTTTTGCTGATGAAATTTATTAATAGGCTGAAATTCAACAATATTATTCGGATTATTTGGTAAAAGCTGTTCAACGTCATCCTTTAGACCAATCATCATATGAAGTTCTCAGTGAGTATTTTATACAAAAGAAAATGGATCAACATTAAGTGCAATTTATTTTGACAGCTTTCGTACTAGAAAATAAAGAGAACTAACGGACGATCGAAAAATTTTTATACAAGATGTTTATTCATTTCTAATCTGTTAGATAACGTTTTCAACGACTTCTAGTTTCAGCGTCATTACTCTAAACTTCCTGCTGATAGGATGTTTCTCAGCAAATTCCATCGATTAATCAACCTATTATGTGCCACTAGACAAAATATCCACAGGAATACTTTTTTATAGACACTTCAACCTTGAGTTTAAAATGCTAAAATACACCTTAAGACAGAAAAAGAGTAAATATACAAAAGTGCCCTTTTGGCTTTAATATTTTTCACATAATGAAAGCATAAAGAAATAATTTACTCGTATGTATTATGTTATATAATCTCGCTCAATCTATCGCTTCTTTTGGAAATATGTTCTCAATGTGCCAATATTTTATACTTTAAGAAACTATTCTATGCATTCCTAAGGTTAAAGTGTCTATAGAATAGTGTTTCTGTGGATATTTTGTCACGTGGTATATGGTAGACTGATTAAAAGATTGAATTTAATGAGAAATACCCTTATTGAAAGGGGATTCAGAGTAATGATACAAAACCTAGAAAGGTCTAAGGGCCGCTTAGACTCTGATGTTAGAAATCAGCTCAGTGAACTGCATACAGTTATGTATGTTTTTACGAAAAAGCGATATGATCATTTGGAAAACTTCCGTCGTGAGATAAAATGTATAAGCGTACATAATGCTGTTCACATCTTATAGCCTTTTATTCGTTGGGAATATTTTCTAGTGCATCAAAACTGAACAAATGTCTTGTCTAAAATCTATTCGATGATTCGTTATTAGAATATTCTAACGAAATTCTCCCCCACTTTTCTTCATCAATACCTCCAGAGAAAATCATTTGCACAATATTCTTAAAGTTTCTTCTGAATTATGAATTACAAATATTTTTCATAGGTTTCTTGAAGTAAAGTTCTTGCAAATTACAAAAATATGAATAATGTTTTTTTGTATAAATTATTATGAACATGAATCATTTTTACACAATATTATATAAAAACAGCAGAGTATTTACACATATATTAATA